GCTCACAGTGGTTATTGACAAAAAATTACTACGGAACAAAAACCTTACTACTGCAAGCACTGCAAGATGTTTGGACACTCGCAGGAGAAATGTTTCAAATTGCGCTCACAGTTGAGAACCAATAGTCAAAAGTAGGAATACACTATTAGTGCACCTCATGTGCCTGAACGCGCTCCCAGCAAACCTGATGACAACCAGCCTGAGGAGGGAATCACCACAAGACAGAAGTTGGTATCTACCCCTGGGATCCCTTCTTCTGATCATACTACAACGATAATGTTCGAACCGAAAATCAGGATAGTCCCGCAGCTCCTATTCAGGAAGCATCAAGTGTAGAGATAACACTTCACAGTTCACATACACTGGAACCTATTGCGGTGGCAACGACTGTTTTTCCTTCTACTGTGGTTCTAACATCAAATCAGATCGAGAATCACATGAGTCAGTCTTTAGATCAGTCTTTAGATGAAGAATCATCCCGGCGGAAGAAGGCTGGGGGCACACTCCAACTTGGAAACTTAGTGGATGATACTTTAGTTACTGTGGATGATAGATACTCTGGTTACTCCTGACAATGACACGACTCTTTAAAGTTTGTTATCTGGCTCCGCTCCTAAACCCAACAATAGTTTTCCTTTGCGAAGGGCTAAACTGGCTCGTCCATACCTACGTTTTTCTGTATGTTTTAAATTTGTTTTACTTTTTATTGAGTTTATCTGTATCTTTTTGTTGGGGTATTACTGTACTTGTATCGTATAAGCAGGGTGCATCTTTTGGGCTTTCTCGTACAACTTTTTTGTAATATATATATATATATATATATGTATGTATTTGAATGCTTCATTTTTTTAAACATAAAGTTATTGGGTTCTAATCATGGACTACAATGATGCTTAATTTCATTATCTTTTCTTATCTCCGTCATCTTTGGAAGCGAACTTCATATATATATGGCGCTCGCGCTCTGTTAGGATTTCGACATGGCGATCCCTGGTTATTACTCCACTACAGCTCTTCGTCGCTCAAGTTCTACTCTTTCACTTTCGCATTTCCGTCGTTTTCGCTGTTGTCGCCGCTGTCAAAGTGTGTCGTCTGCTGCTAGTGCGTCGTCTGTCTTCGCTCGTGCGGTGAAGCTCGTGCGTTGTCCGCTGCGTCAGGCTCAGTTGTCGCGCTCGGTACTGGTCACTGAGCCTTCCAGCTTTCTACGCAATCCGAAACCGCAGTTTGAGCAGGTTGGTCCTCGGGCTCGAGCTGTTGCAGGGGCTTTCGGTTTTCATTCCTACTCCCATTTCTGGTTTCGGAGGTTGCTCTCTCCTTTGCTGTCTTCACTGCTTTTAAGGCCGCTCCTCCATTTATTGTGGATGGCTTCGGACAGATCGTATGTTGCTGCCCTTGCGAGTGTCTACGCCTTCGGTACACCTAAATCATGCTCTTTCACTCCTTTGTTTGAGTGAGCAGAGGACATCAAAAAACCTAGTAGGAAGAATGAGAAGTTTGTCATCTTTTTTACTGAAGTTGAATGTTCAACTAACTTCTTTCTATCGACTGAATTTGGTCGGAAAATTTCTGCGTGGTCATCCTAAAATGGAGTTGATTTGTAGTGAATTTGAGCTTAAACACCTTGTTGGGAAAAATTGGACTATTTAACGGACGTCACATTCTTATACAACTAAAGAATGAAGAGGATTACATGTCTTTATTTGCTAGAAGGATGATCTGGATTAATAAGAAAGCAATGAAGATTCTGAAGTGGTATGTGGATTTTGACTGACAGACGGAACTACCAATCTTTCTAGTTTGAATTCGTTTCCCTAATCTGAAATTTCATTACTTTACTCAAAAAGTGTTGTACTCTATTGCCTGAGCTTATGGTAAGCCACTCAAAATGGACATTCCTACTTTTAACCTTTCTCGTCCATCTAAAGCCAGAGTACTTGTTGAAAGAGACATCAATTCATCCGCTTATGAGGAAATTTGGTTGGACACACAACACCATGGATATTGACAAAAGGTAGGGATTGAGCCTTTTTCTTCATATTGTTCGAATTGTTGTATGTTTGGCCACCAGTTCTCAATGCCACCATCTACACCCCCATTTCAGATCAAATAGCACAGTGCTCCGCCAGAGGCAGTGAATTCATCCCATCTTGATCAGCTCAATGTTATTAACACTATTGATCATCAAAAATATACCTATGAAGAGGTCACTATTCTCGTAGGTAATATAACAATCATTCAGCCGAACATTTTATCGTGGGTGACGCGATGTTGTAGCTCCCCTGTCTTTGAAACCTCCCATCGTGGGAAAGAGAGAGATTCTTCATACCCCGCCTTTCCTTGAACTTATCACAGATATTACAGGTGGCAATACTTCTATTGTTTAGCTACCACCACATCAGCTCGTGCAAGTTGTTAATGTCACTCAAGCTCATAGAGATCATGATGTGCAACAACCCACACCTGTCTGACCAACTTTGGAATCTACTGATCTGATGAGTCAATCATCGGATGAGGAATGACAGGTCTACAGGTCTAGGAGGAAGAAAAAGAATGAAGACCTACTTGAGCTCAGGAATCTGATGGACGATACTTTGGTTACTCCAGACAATGATATTCACCTTACTAATTTCTTAGCCGGCTCACTTCCGAGGACTAGAGGCAGAGGAAGAACTAAAGTAGGACGTCTCTTGCACTTTTGCGCCCTTTGGTGGCTTTTTGGTTCTTTTTTTTCTACCTTTATGTATTTTCATTTGTTTGGTTCTGCGTGTGTTGTTTTGTATGTGTTGGGCTTTGTTGTGAGGAATGCAGGTAAGGCCGCCAGCAGCAACCTTCGCCATTGTAACCTACGTATGTTGTTGCTACTACTACAACCATGGGTCGTATGCATAGCCACGATAAGGGCATTTCCTTATCCGCTCTT